GAAATTTGTGAAAATATTGTTTAAGCCATTCTTTGATTGTTATTTGGTGTTTTTCTTCTTGTCTGGATTCTTCAATATTAATGATGAATGGTGATTTAACACTGATGGCGGAAAGTTGTACTACATTTGTATTATTATTAGTTATATCAGGTATTTCAACCAAATCATCAGGTTCATCACCAATTTCTTTTTGTTCTTGTTCTTCTCGTTGTAGATTATTACCATGTTCATTGACAATATGGTGTGTTTGTGGATGCATTTTTGTTAAATTCTAATATTTAACTACATTTTCATCTGTAGAGCAAATCTCTTCTATCAATTTTTATTAATCTTTATATGATTCAATAATTATCCTTTAAATATCGCATGAAGAATATGAAAAAAAGGAATTGTGTGTATATCTTCATATGATGAATTGATTCTTACATATGTACTTGTTTGTATAGTCAACGATAGATGATTTTCTTTTCTTCTTTTTTCGTTCTTTTTATCAACTTTCTTTACTGTGTGAATAAAGCAAAGAAGATCCAGCAGAGATCTTCATTAAAAAATGCGAATTCTGTTGCTGCGCTGTCCATTAGCTACTTTATGGCTATTTCTCCAGAAACTCGACTAGAAAAAAGCTTCACTATTGTTCTTAATTGTATTACTTAACTATGAAAATTTGGATTTCTGAAGTTATGTGGTTTCATCACACTTTTAAAAGCCAGTCTGTGGAAAGAAAATGGGCAATACCCTGTGTTCGAGAGAGAGTAGCTACATGTGTTTAATGTGTGTATGGACAACTCTGTTCAATTCATCGCAAATAAATAGGAGCCAATAACAGACTTTAAAGTAAAAACAAGTAGCCTGTCTATCCAGCTATGAATCAATCTAGCTGTAACACTCTCTGGAAGAAAAGTATCGTACGGATTTACCATTTTTGAAGAATCACTGGGGAAAAAACATCCATGCGAATCCATTTTGAAAATAAAAACGCCAAGATTCCAGTATGTGTATTGTTTTCTCGTATTAATTCTACAGTTTTATTTGTGTATGATAATTTAGCTTAAAATCCAGTACGAATCATTCGGACATTCACAAGTGACTTATGAATGTCAAAAATAGGTCGGTATAAGATTAACAGATCCGTATCTATTAAGACATGGAATCATTTTCGCTCAGAGCAGAGAAGTAGCAAATAAAATCTCACTGGTTTAACATAAAGAACTACTACATCTCATACCAATCTATTTTACAGTATCAAGGGGCTATTTTCTGAAATATTTTGGTGCTGTAGGAATATACATCAGAGAAAAGGAGCGAGAATAAAAATATGCGAAGGAAAAATTGTTATACTGTGTGAGCACTATGCATAAAAGTATGTGAAATGAAACTCTTTAAAGAAAATACTTGAAAAGTCTGTTTCTGAGAAAAGATCTTAAGAACCGTTTGTTAGTAGAAGTTCTATTGTTTTTTTCAAAAACAAATCTTTCTCTCTGTCTTCATTTTCGAACTCAATTGGGATTGATGAAGTCAGTCGAATCATGTCCGAGCCGAATGGGGTTCGATTGGCGAAAACGTCGATCTCGCGAATCGGTTGATTCACATAATAATGGCAAAAGAAAGCACATACTTAAGAAGTTAACTAACAGGCAGTAATAGTAGTTCTGTTTCTTTCTGAATGCCTATCCGATGTCTCGTATCCATATCTATCATTGAATGCAGATACTAGGTACGTAAATTTAAAAAATAGAGCATAAATAAAATGTATTTACTATTGCTATAGATACTGTTCAATGAATATAGAACATAAAAAACATTGACAAAAATACAAAAAGGAAAGACTTTTTTTGCAAACATAGAACTCAATTACAGTTTAGTGTTGAAAAAATAATAAAGTGCAAAACATTATAAACAGAAATATTTTCTTTTTTGTTTCTTTCTTTATTTTTCTCTTGGATTTGTTGACTTTGATCATATGGATAAAATGGCAGCACTTCGTTACTCGTTGGGCGCAAAAAATTTGGTGTACACTAAGCATACTTGGTGTCCTTTTTATTTAAAAAGTTAGAAGACAAAAAAATTTTGTTTTCTTCGTGCATAAAAGAAGATTCTTTTGTTGCTCTACCCCAAACCAAATGAAATGGTGTTAAGGTGACAGTCGCTTTCGAGATATGGTGGCGCCAGTATCTGATGCAAGTTCTAGGGCTTTCAGCAAAATACTCATCACTCTTGATTAAAACATGACTCACAGCTCGGAGATTTCTCATATTGATCAGAAACGTTTGCTCTATTTCCTGATATTCCTAAAAGTAGCTTTTGATTTTTCTTTTAATCGGAAAGTAAAACTTTTTCAAAATATCAGCTTTTCAAAATTTTCAGAAAACTTTTCTAAAAACCTCCATAACCCTTCATTGAAGGCCAAATAACATTGGATTCTGATAGTAAATACTGTGAGCTATCTGATGATGTGCTTAGTTCAATATCGACTTTTTATTAAAAAATTATGTTTCTGACAGTGGATGGAGGCCTTAAATCTGATAGTTGATGCTGTCCAAACCATATTAAGAATGATGCCTTAAGAACATCTATTGTACATGAGATAAAACATAATAAAAAAAAATTCGAGCAGGGTAACACCTAACTGCTCCAATTTGATCTCTGTTTCGTATCTCTACTAAAAGAACAGAAAAATGTATATTGTAGGCTATTTATTATTTTCTCTGTCATAATGTACATTGATCAAAAGTAGATGAGTTTCATTATAGAAATGTCATCCAAAATAAATTAAAAAGCCTAAAATATCGAGAGGAGTATTATCATAATAAACATCATCAGATAAAGAGCAGATATCGAAGTATAGCGCAGAAATACTGATCCTCAGTTTCAGATTTTATATCTTGTACGAAAAGACATCAAAACTTACTCTGTCACCTTTCTATTGCACTTTTGATGAATGCACGCATTTTTACAATAAATCATCAATGCTGTATAACCACATACTTTTTATGTAGTTGTGCGTTCTGTATGTTAGAAGAAAAGCAATTTTTTTCTACAAAAGCCTGTCTCTTTACAGTATGTATCCCCATAGAAGTTGCTAATTAAAAAAAATCGACTACATTTAATATACCAGCAGTACAAAGAAGAGAAATGAACGGAAAAGTATAACAAACTAAAAGTGTTTAGTTGGCTAATAATTTACATTGGCGTCTCATCCATCGTATCATGGCTGTAAAGAAAATTACAGAACAGAAAAAATAAAAGTAAAAATGTCGATGTCACAAACCTCTAACAATAGAACATCTGTGGAGAAAATGAATGAACGAAGGTTGTAAATAGAGAGAAAAGGGAAAAATTAAATTAGCTGTTATTTGGAAGACGCTTAAATTTAGAGGAAACGATATGGGCGGATTAGCTTATTTTTCTGAATATTTTTGAAAAGTTCGACGTGGGTGTGATTGGTTTTGAATTCTGAACAGAACTGCCTATAAGTTTTTCGGAAAGCTTATTTTCATTTATTGAGCTGAAAGCTTATTGTCTCAGATTTTTTTAAAACGTTTAAGTTGGTGCTTAAATGCTAAAAACCAGAGATCAAAGTAACACTCATCATGCAGTCGGCAATAGGTGAAATCTGTCGACTTCCGTGTAACGGATAATTACTCTTGCAGGTTACTTCCAGGTTCTAACATAGGCTTAGGAATATCTTACTTTTTTCTATCAGAATAATGTTTTCTAAGTTTGTATGAGAGAAGTAAGTTACTTATAACGACCAAGATTGTCGTCAAAAGTCAAGTGTTTGAAAGATACTCTTTAATTAGACATGTCAATCAGCTGTCACCGGAATTGCATTCAGGATTATAAAAAGTCTATGGCACTTATACTGGATAACAGATCTTGCGATGCGTCTATCAGCTAGCTGCGAAAGAATGGCAGAAGAACTCGTGAATTAGTCCTGTACGTCTTCCCGTTTTCGAATAACAGCTGCTATACCGAAATCCGTTTTCGACAATACTCAGCTTCGAGCTCTTTGTACCCTGTTAGACAAAACGAACTGAATATTATTATTTTCAATTACGAAAATGAGACTATAGCTGATGTTCCTGAAAAGACAAATCAAAAATCAAAAATTTATATGCGATATTTTTTGAAGCACGTTCTCAGAAAAAAAGTAATAGTAAATTTTAGTTGTGAGCGTTTGTTTCATGCTTAAACTTTCCTCTAAGTCAATCTGACTATATTTGACAAATAATATTCTTGGTGAAAAGCTGTCAGATAGCCAGAATCTTGGCTTGAAGGAACATAAGAAATGTTATCTCATTTAAGAACCAGTTCAGATTTCCAAGCTTTGAGCTTTCCTGTGACGATAGAGCGGTTGGAAAACAAAATTTGTTTATCACAAATAAATCGAGTTTAAACTGTCAAAGCATTTTATCCAAGGGGGGAAAAGGCGGATCCGGGATCTACGCGGATCCATGCGAATACAATTTTATTGAACTGAACTGTCCCAGAAATCTCTGTTCCCACAAGCAAAACGAAAATGTTCTGTCTGTGGGAAAAGAATTCACAGAACAGAACACAACTGTCCCGTTATCCAGGAAATTCTCTCAATAAAAGAACCGGACTGTTCTGTTTCGGGAACACGATGGTCCTGTTTCGCGACTCAGACTGTTCTGCTTTGGGAACACGATTGTGCTGTTTTAGCGGAAGAATATTGAGACGGATCTGGGGGGATCTTTGCGGATCCATGGGGATCTTGGCGGATCCGTGGGGGTCGTGGATCCGCAGATCCGCCTTTTACCCCTTGATTTTATCTCATGTATCTCACGGCTGACAAAATCTGGTTTTGTATACGAAATATCAGTTTTTTAATTTGGGAACAACTGAGACGAAATTTTTTAGATAAAAACTCTCTCTCTCTGAAGAGCTTTTCTTGGGTTAGCTGAAACACTGATTTACCATGTTTTACGGGGGTTTCTCTTCGGGAACATGGTAAAATCAAAGGGCTTTATTCAAAGCTAGAAGTTGAGCTCAAAAAAAAAAGCTTTCGGTATTTTATTGTCGATCTCTATGAAGAGTTGACCAAGGTCCACATTGATTATATTAAAAATTTCAAAGAACACACATTAACAGTTTATTGAGGACAGTGTATGGGTCTGTTAGAAGTGAGAGACCTAAAACGTGATATTGGAAAATATTGTTCAGGAAGATCGGAACAACCGTTTGCTAACATCACGAATTTAAGTGAATTTCCAGACGAGCAGGAAATAAAGGCTTGTTGACAGTATACTGGAGTCGGTTTTGATGGAATCGATGTAGATCTGTGGAAAATTGCTTCGAAACCACTTGCTAACACAAGTGATGAAGGCTGGTTAGAGGATGAAGAAGAAGAGTTATCTGCATCATCCAATATATTCAAAATCGATTCAACGATTCAATCCAACAAATCAAAAACAAATTTTGGCTAATTCACGTTACACTATGCGCTGTTAAGCGTGGCATCCTGATTATTTTGACTATGTTTCGGTTATTCAAAATATTGCCGAACATTTCATCGAAAAGTGACCGAGTAAATTACCGAATGCTCGAACGATGTCGACTGTATTACAAAGCTAATCCTTCTCACCGGGCTAATATCGATGAATTTGAAAAAACTTATCGTTCCAGTGTTGCTATTCGATGGTATGCGAAAGACTCATTTTTAAACCGCCTACTGAGCAGTGCCCTCCGGGAAGAGAGGATCGATGTAATTCTAGACTTTCGGTATTTTACTATCGATCTTTATGAAGAGTTGACCAAGGCTCACATTGGTTATATCAAAAATTTCAAAGAACACACATTAATAGTTCATCGGGGACAGTGTATGGATCTGTTAGAAGTGAGCGACCTAAAACGTGATACTGGAAAATATTCTTCAATTAATTCGTTTTTTTCTGCCTCACTATCGATTGAGGTTGCGCTATTTTTTGCCCAACTGGACTCGTTACATCCTCAAACGCTGCTTCGATCTGTCTTATTTGACATAGACATTGATATGACAAGAGGATCGAAACAACCGTTAGCTAACATTACGAATTTAAATGAATTTTCAGACGAGCAGAAAATACTATTTACGCCCAGAACTCGATTTTTAATTGATTCAGTGGAAATAAACGAAAGTGGTACTCGCTGGATTGTACATTTAACTCTTTAATCCAACGACGACGAGAGCGCCGAGATGAGAGCAATGAATGAATATCTCGAATGTTTAGTATAACTAACGGATAGTAACAACGTTTATGCGTCAGTGATGGCAGCATTGGATAATGTCAAAAAGATGTTTTTTCCTGGTAGCATTATTTTCGCTTTGTTTTCTTGTAGTTTATCAGGAAACACGAATGATTTGTATTGAAAAAACCTTAAAAATTGTTTTTCGTGGAAATAGCATGTGATTATTTTCTGTATCAGTATGCGTACTCGAATACACTAATTACTGTTCGCGTTATTTCCACTTCCCGTTCAGAAAAAAGAACAACGTGCGTGTATCTATTAAAACTAAAGAATTATTAGGACTAACCAACACATTCTCGGAAAGCGTCACATTTAATTCAAAAACCCACTTCGAACGCGTTCTGCACAGTTTTTAAAAATGCTAAACTCTGCTAGTTAGTCCTGATAATTTGTGCACATACGTGAGAGCACAAAGATTAACAACTAGCAGCAAACATTTTGTCGCAATTAGTGTTCACGCCATACTTGAAAAAAGTATTGATTCAAATAGATTCATTGTGCGTGTACAATGGTTTATGTCCGAAAATTTAAAAAATTAGGAAACAAAGTGTCTTGGACTAAAACCGGCCGTGTATATTAAACCTTTTAGCGCCGTCTTCACTGCTGATTCGGTTCGGTTTGAAAATCCAAGCCGGGAGCCAGTATTAGTTTCGCTTTTTTATACCGGTTCCATCTCTACTATGGTTATTATATCACCACAACTGATAATCAAAGAAATTCAAAAAATACAAAACGATAGAAATCTATCTCCTGCGTATTTCTAGAGCTTGTTAAATTGTGTCTAGGCATGGCAAACCTTGGTCTGGTTGGCTAGAAAGCACTTTAATCGAAAAATAATGACACATTTGGAATAAGCGCACCAAGATGCATCGAATGATGTATAATTTGTTAGTTTTTCAAATAAAAAGTCTTTTGAGCAAAATTAGGGCAGGGATCAGTGACTTCCCATCGGGAACCAAAATTTTTCAAAGAACGGGAGACGGTTTCTGATAGAAAAAGGCCCAATATGATTTTGAGTGAAAATGATCGAAAATGGTTCTCTTTTCATTTCCCACTTTCAAAAATTCCTTCTGGTATCTATGAAAAAAATTTCTTTTCATCTTTTGCCACTAGTTCAACAAAAGCCATTTACCTTTTTCCGCAAATTTCTCGTCCGATTTCAAAGTCCTTGTGCAAACCTTATACATAACAAGATAGAGAATTTTTTGGGTTTCAAAATAAGCTATAAATGAGCTTTTCAAAAATATGTCCATATAGCACAATTGTCGAACTACTAGATGGACATCATCATTTTCATCTATCTCAACACTTTAAAGGAATATTTCTTCAACGCATCTACTCAGAACCGAAATATTTTATACATAGAAAGACAGAGAATTTTTCGGGCTTCCAAATGAGCTATAAATAAGTCTTTTAAGAATATACTCACATGGATCAGTAGTCGAAATACTTGGCCGATATCATCATTTTCACCTGTTATCTTATACCGACCTATTTTTGACATTCACAAGTATTTGGACTGCATTTTAAGTTAAATTATCGTACAGAAATAAAATTGTAGAAATTAATACGGAAAAACAATACTCGTATTCAAATCTTAGCACTTTTTTTTGTTCAAAATGGATTCGTATGGATTTTTTTTCCGAAGCGATTCTTCAAAAATGGTAAATCCGTGCGATATTTTTCTTCCGGAGAGTGTTACAGCTAACGGGTGCGCCATAAATAACTGCGCTGTTAGTAATTTAAATCTTTCTCCTCTTCCTTAGGCTCAGTCGAACTGATTCTACTAACAAAAGATTCCCCGTTCAATTCTCTACAAAATGGTATATAAACGACAAGTCAGAACTTTGAGACGTTGTTTCAGCTGAACAAAATGTGATGTACCTCGAAAACGAGAAAAATGTAATCGTTTTCTACTAAGTTTTTTTAATTTGAAATCTATGCTAAAAGAGGGGTACAAGCCGCATCCTAAGTTGCTTCTCTACACATTCAGATGTTCTCTAGCTGACAGAACAGAATTCATTTCCCCTTCGTGCGTCAGCCGGGTAAAAATGGCTAAATAATTACTTGTCGTAATAAATCAGCGAAATGTCAATATGATGATATCAAAACAACATTATTTCATACTGTTTACATGCGAATTTAGTAGGAAAAAATGTTCTTTCCCAAATGACACCTGAGCGAGCTTAATTGGTTTACTTTTGTCCGAAATATGATCAATCTGCGAATAACCCTAACACGTAACTCGAGAAAGCAATGACAGGACTTTTACAGAAACCATGATTGCAAGCGCAAAATAAAGGGAAGAAATTCGTCTTAACTGTCAATCAATAGAGAATTTCGAGGGCTACAATGCTGCATAATCGGTTCGACACGACTAAATAATCTGATTTATTATCGGCGAAATACTCCTTTTTTTAGTTAAATTTTTCACGTTCTCGAGGTACATCACATTTTGTTCGCTGAAACAACGTCTCAAAGTTCTGGCTTGTCATTTATATGCCATTTTGTAGAAAATCGAACGGGAAGTCTTTTGGTAGTAGAATCAGTTCGACTGAGTCTAAGGAAGAGAAGAAAGATTTAAATTACTAACAGTGCAGTTATCTATGGCGCACCCGTTAGATTGATTCACAGCTGGGTAGACTACTTGCTTTTACTTTAAACTCTGTTCTTTGATCCTTTACATTTATTTGTGATACATCGAACAGAATTGTTCGTCCACACACACACACATTACTTTCTCGCATGTACCCTCTCTCTCTCTCTCTCTATACATATAAGAAAATATGTCTATCTATATAAAAAATGAAAGAAAAAAAACAGATACGGTCTTTATTATTCTAATCGACAATGAAAACCGATAGTCCAAAATGTGACGGAAAGAGAGAGAAATGAATTCGGTATTATTTTAATTCTTCTTTATATACAGTAGGTATGTGATAAGTGTGGACATTAGTCAGACAAAAGTGAAACTCTTTACATATCGCTGAACTAGTTGCCAGAGAATAACCTTGAACAGAGCAGAGCGTATTGCCGTTTTTTCCTTCCATAGGTTGACTTTTAAAAGTGTAATGGAGCCATATAACTTCAGAAATCCAAATTTTCATAGTTAAGTAGTACAATTAAGAACAATAGTGAAGCTTTTTTCTAGTCGAGTTTTTGGAGAAATAGCCGTAAAGTACTTGTCGCGATCTAACGGACAGCGCAGCAACAGAATTCGCATTTTTTAATGAAGATCTCTGCTGGATCTTCTTTGCTTTATTCACACAATAAAGAAAAATTACAAAAAGAACGAAAAAAGAAGAAAAGAAAGTCATCTATCGTTGACTATACAAACAAGTACATATATAAGAATAAATCCAGCACATGAAGAAATATATACAATTCTTTTTTTTCATATTCTTCATACGATATTTAAATGATAATTATTGAACCATATAAAGATTAATAAAAATCGATAGAAGAGATTTGTTCTACAGATGAAAACGTAGTTAAATATTAGAATTTAACAAAAATGCATCCGCAAACACACCATATTGTCAATGAACATGGTAATAATCTACAACGAGAAGAACAAGAACAAAAAGAAATTGGTGATGAACCTGATGATTTGGTTGAAATACCTGATATAAGTAATAGTAATACAAATGTAGTAGAGATTTCCACCATCAGTGTTAAATCACCAAGCGTCATTAATATTGAAGAATCCAGACAAGAAGAAAAACACCAAATAACAATCAAAGAATGGCTTAAACAATATTTTCACAAATTTCATAGTTTAAATGAAAGACGTCCAAAACGTTTACAATGGCATGAATATATCTGGAGTTGGCTTGGAGCGTTTATTGGCATAGCACTTGTGGCATTTATGCATCACCGTATTCTAGAAAGGTAAATTTGAGATACATGAAAATTCTTGTCACAATGAGAAAAAACGATTCGAACAAAATTTTCTCATGCTCACGCGAATGATCTACCATGTAGAAAAAAGCAAAGCAACATTTTGATTCTCTGAATATTGTTGTTTGTTGAGACGATATTCTTTTCAAACACAAACGATTGTCTGTCAACATGCCATCTATATACACTCAGAAAAAAGGCTCGAATTAAAAAAAGGATCGAATTAAGTCACATTAATGTGCCTTATTCTGTGAAAAGAAGAGACATTAATGCGACTTCATTTGATCTTAAGTCGCATTTTGTTTTAGAGTGTGGAGGAGAATGTTTAGTTTCGAGTATCAGCAGAAACGCTCGTGATTCCAAGAAAAAAAATCTAACGGGGAACCTCTTCAAGTACCCACTTCTGATTTTACCAATCCTTTGCTGATAAATACTATATGGTGTCTTAGTAAAGACCCTAAAGGAATTTGTACTTTTATTGCTTCTTTCAAAAGCACAAATCCTTTTAGGATTTGTTTTTTGATTTTTCCTGTACAACGAAAACATTAGGTTAAACAGGAAAAAGTTCATGTCTCAGCCAAAACACGATACAGAAGACTGAACATTTCTTCTGTGGCAATGCTAGATGTCTATAATAATCATGGAAAATGTCAACCTTCGACCTTCATTATTTCCAACGTTATAGAATTTTTCTTTCGAAGAAAACCCATGTGTTTTCTGAAACGGGATGAAACATGAGATGTCAAGAAAATTTGCTGAAGAAAGATAGTCAGGGGTTGGTGTACTTGTCGACCGTTCAATCTGACGAACAGCATCATCAGAGCGAAAGTTGTCTCCTTTCTGCCGTGCAGAGGCCGCCCAATTAGATAGATCTGTATAAAGATCACTAGTTTGAAACATATATAATCAATGATTGCGGAAAAAAATCTTTTTAAGGAAAACAATACTCTACATGGATTTTCTTAAGAAAGGAAAATTCTATAATTTCGGAAGTTGCAAGACTGTCATTTTCCATGATTATAATAGACATCTAGCACTCTCAGACAAAAACTGTTCAGGCTTTTATACCGTGTTTTGCAATTTTGAATCTTTTACTGTTCTACCTAATGTATACAGAGAAAATAAAAAAATTTATAACTTTTGAAAGAAGCAATAAGAGCATAAATCCTTTTAGGAGTTTTTACTAGGACACTATATAGTATCTATCAGCAAAGGATTATTGAAATTGGAGATACGCAGCTAAAGAGATTCTCTCGTAAGTTTTCAGATTTTTAATTTTATTTTTGTGAGTTTTAACATCAAATCGAGTCACAAAAAAATGTGCACTTTAAGAATAAAGTGTTTTACAGATCTATCAAAGAATCTTCACGTGGGTACGGTGGTAGAATGTCTGGAGGATCTCGCAAAAAACGAATCTTTATAAATCTCTTTTTTCAACAAAGAAAATGGATACATTGGATTCATAAAATATATCGTACAAAACCTTTTTCTTGAGAATAAAAATCTATGAAACAGTTTTTTCAACAACCATTATAGGATTTATGCTTAAGGATTATGACCCTTGCTCATATCTTAAAAAGAATGAGAGAAGCACTTTCTCTGTTTTTTAGTATAAAATAAGATGTTATGACAAGATGTCATTCAGTTCTTGTGTGATCTAGCATAGGATATTTTTTATACCTCCGGCACTCTGCTTTTCTTCTTGCATTCGTAATTTTGGATGGAAAAATCGAATATTGTGAATTTTTCTCATTTTTTCTTCAATTAGCGTTCATTACTACTTTCTAGACAAGCATTATCATTTATGATTGGTTCATTTGGTGCATCAGCAGTATTAATATTTGGTGCTCCAAAATCTCCCTTAGCTCAACCGCGAAATTTAGTTGGTGGTCATGTAGTAAGTGCAATTGTTGGATGTATAATACGTGTTATACTGGGAAAATATGAACAATCTGTAGCATGTGCATTAAGTGTTAGTTTAGCTATTATTTTAATGCAATTAACAGAAACTCTTCATCCACCTGGTGGTGCAACAGCTCTAATAGCTATTACAATGCAACCCGGATTACCAGGGGCAAATTTTCTCTATATATTAATGCCTGTTCTAAGTGGAACATTGTGTATGTTATTAGTTGCATTAATTGTTAATAATTTAGCTACAAGAAGAAGTTATCCAACATTTTGGTGGTGAGACTTAGTGTAACAATAATAACAATTGTAGAGTATGAGAACAAGAAATAATGTACGTCTGTCAAAAGAGAGGGATGACGAAAGATAGTAAGAAATCGATGAACAAGAAATATTTCTATTATAGACCATGAAAACCGCAAAATAATTATCCTGATACATTAATTAGGTAGACATCGATTTTTATCATTGGACGGGTTATTATAGATTTTATACAAATACAAAATCACAATATACTGTGCCTTTTGATAAAATGAAGACAAATAAAAAGTGATAACGGGAAAAATAAAGTTGCTTTTCAGACATAGATTCATCTGACTTATTCAGCTTAAGTCAAATTTAAATAAAATTTCCTCAACTCATCTTAGCGCAAGTTAACTCTTAACTTCTCTCTGTTCGATTCCATTTTCCTTTCTTTGAATCAGCTGAATAAGATCAAGAAGGTCAATAGCTAGAAAATAATTGGTCAAGTCAAAGATAATTTGTTGTTAATGTGACACTTTCAATATCCTATGCTTTTACTATTATTTTGATTTATCTGGACTTTTCAGTTTAACAAAAGTATACTTTTGCAATAATAGCGAAGAAGTTGATGTTTGGATTAATGATATCTAGTTATTTCGTGTTAAGTCAGTTGAGATTTGCTTCTTTAATTTTTTGCTGTGTGATCATACCAGAACATGAGTACTACGCAACTGAATGTACAGTACTCGAATAGGACGTACGTCTCTGTTAGGTACCCATTTCGAATATCGTCAAAAGTTTTTGTTAAAATACTATTCAAGTGCCTGAACGTACTGATGTGATATAACCAAAACCCGAGTGTTCTGGAAAATTCCTCATGTCGCAAGGTGTAGAGAATTGGAACACTTTATGATGTGATGGGTCCTTCTTGCGGTCAATAACGAAAACAATTCGATACTGCGCTAATAGCGGGGCTAGACCTTTAAAACCTGCGACACTAGTACGTTCATACATTCCAGAAAATATTTCTTCCCTAAATTTCATTTCGTTGTAGAGAAATTAATTATTTCCTTTTTTTGCTGGCTTTTGTGGAAAAACAGTAAAATGAGAATAGGCATAACTCGGTCAGAAAAGCCTAAGGACCGAAATTCAATCAGATTTTTTCTCATACCCATACATTCTGTCACCAACAGATGAACAAAATCGGGGTTGAACAGCTGAAAATGTTCCCTCGTCAGTTGCACAATGTCACGCTCTTCTTGACTCTCAGTCTAGGAAGCTTTTAATAATTAAATATCCGGTGTTGACGACTGATCGAGTCTGTTTTTGTGATAGACTACAAGATTTGTGTTAAATATTGAGCTGAACATGAGATCAGCATATCTCTCATAGACACAATTAAATGCATCGATGCTCCTGGTTGATGTGCCTTTGGATATCCACGAAGAAACGACATTTCTTCCTGTTCTTGAAATAGCTGAGCGAGTTTTTCGTCGAGACTTCTTGCAGGCTAATCGCTCACCAATTACTTGTACGTGGTTATAAGTAGAAGAGATTGAATCGGTCTAATCGCTCATACGCAAACGAATGTACAGTGCTGCTTTTTGTTCAATAGTTGGCCTTGCATTGTCCGTATCCATAATTACCTAACATCTTTATCCTCGAGAACAACAATAACATCGTTCTTCTTTTCAATCTTATTTATCAATTTGTTTTGCTTTACAGACAAAAACCAATGCCTCTTATCATCGGTCTGGCATTTTCTAACATTATAGTGACACATATACCGTGATACCCACTTTGTTTCCAGGTATATAATTCAAATCACGCTTAAGCAGCTGTAAGCCTTGTGTACATATAGTCAAAAAATTTGTTCACCATGACACTGTAGACTCCTGTGGCGATTTCCTAAAAAAAAGATTATGATCGAGAAATATTATTTATCGACTGATATTTATCTATTAATTTCATAAATTAATAGATAAATCTATTAATTTAAGATAAATATCTTGCACCATTAAATCAACCATGGTGAAGACGAATACGCAAGTCTCTCGTCGGGTGCCAGAAAAAAATTTTAATATGAAAGCGTGATGGTGTCTCAGAACTAACGGGTGCGCCAGGATAAATGTCCCTCTAAGTATTTTGCTTGTGTTTCTTTAGGAACCTAAGATTAGGGTTTTTTAAAAGATGCGTCGTGAAATACTCTACAAAACCATATTTACACTTTAGTTTCAGAACTTCAATCAAGAAAACTACGCAAATCATACGAAAGACGAAAAAAAATGAAAACTTTCTAAATTCAAAAACGATTTCTTGTATTAACATTTGAAAGTAAGAACATCTGAATCAGCCATTATGTAGCCGTTACTTCGCTCTATCTTTCAGCTACACTTCAAATTTTTTCACATCAAAATCTATGGAGAAATAATGAGTTTTCGATCGGTTGCCACGCAATTTTTCATTAATTTTAAATTCTGCCTATAGTGGTGCTTTTTCCATAACTCCATCAAACCAAAAGCTCCTTCGATCGGGTTTGTTTTGTTTTGATCAGCATTGATTGCTCTTCTCTACCTAACTGCAAAATCAAAACTTCAATAGTGTTTTTCGTTTCTTGCTTGGGTACATTTGTTGGAAATACGAGACTGTCAATTTTTGACGTATTTTTGTAATCTCGTTCTCAAACACACTATCTGCTCTAAAAAATTGTTTTTACGAACCACGAGAAGGAGTATATTTAAAAGTACAAAAACAACTGTATTCTCACTTTTGCTACACTTTTTTTACGAAAGTAATAGCAGAAAAAAAGAAGTTCAAGTCGAAAAAAATACCCAATTTAGAAATCATTATGTATGTAATGCCTAATTATTGATTGATGGTACTGATATTAGAATATGTTTGTTTGCAAAATATGGTAAACTGTAATTTTGTATTAAGGGGTGGTTCCCTCACCCGTTTTTTAGAAACCAGTCTCCTCAGCCACTCATGTTGAACAGCATCATAAACAAACATTAATTTCTTATCATTATTTGTTCACTGTTCTGTTTTATAAATTTCGAAATGTTTTAACTTTAAAAAGTTCTCTTGTCTGGAGAATTAGAGTTAGTACATGGTTATGAGTTATTAAAATACGATTATTCTTTGAGTGTTTAATCTCTGTTTGGTCATTGTTGGGAATACTGAGTAGTGCGATGGGAAATTGTGAAGTTGATGGAATGTTTTGGCAAAAAGTTCATGCTGATTCTGGATTCTATCTCTTTTTGTGGAGATGGCATCCAACACGAGTACCTTGGATTCGGCCTCTAACTAAGGATTGGGTCTGCTACTTTAGAGACGCCTCACAAAAAAATATCGCTTAAAAAGATGGTCGTCATATTGAAACAAAAACAAGGACTAAATTACGAATATGCACAGTGCCAAAAGCTACAACAATATTAATGAACCCAGGAAAAATTACTGAACAATCTGATTCATTTTGTTTCACTCGTGTTATGTTTAGAACAGCAACTATTAGTAACGAATCGATTTAAGTTCACATTGGATATATAGAGGTGCAAAATGTCAGTTAGTGTTTCTTATTTTGGAGTGTTACTTAAGGAAGATGTGATTGAAAAAAGCGTTTATTTTGACCATCGAACGGATATGTGATATTTATGCTAGTTTCCTGTATAAGTAGCGTTTTGTCAAACTATAAAAAGCGTTTGCAGAAGTGTCTCAGCAAAGATCAGTATAGTATCCTCAAAAGAAACAGTTCATGATTAGTGGCGTAACTTTTATACGTTGAGTGTTATATCACTGCTGAGAACAAGAGTTTTTCAGCGAAGAAAAGCAAATGCTTTTAAAGGTACCCCGTCTCATTTTTCACCTTGTTACCAAATGCGGAGCACACAACCGATTGAGCTCCATCTTATAGCAGAGTTAGAACATCGAAAAAGAAAATAGAAGTATTTTTGCCCAAAATTTTCTGAGATGAACTCATCGGGCCCCGTTATGACCCTTCGAAAAAATGGTCCGATCGTGCTCAAATTTTTAGAGCTGAAAATCACGCAAAAAAAGTCAGATTTTTTTCGGTTTTTTTCACTGACTTTCAGCATTTTTCGTATCTCTCGAGAAGGAAAGCATATTTTTTGGAAAAAAAATTTACATCCTTAGATACGATCTGAAGTATCTATGCTTAACATTTGAGCTCTATCGGACCATTTTTTCGAGGAGTTATAATGTGGCGATGAAAACTGGAGTTTTCCGGAAAATCCATATAAGGACATCTCAGAAAATTCTGCGCAAAAATACATCACATTTCTTTTTCGATGTTCTATCTCTGCTATAAACTGGAGCTCAACTGGACGTTTACTCCGCGTTTGGCAACAAGGTGAAAGAAGTGAGGGGTATGCTTAATAGTATGTCCTTGACAAAAGGAAATCTACAACAAATTTTATGTGTTTCATTCTTGCTTGTCATTATAATAAATTAGGTGTTAAAAACAATGCGAAATAAAAATATTTGTGAAAAAGTTCACACAGAATGAAAGAAAATGTGTCCCTACAAAGGTGAAACATTGTTTATATATTTTTATGTTTGAAAAATCATCATATTTAGTGTAGTTCGCTTAGAGTTGCTATGAATGAAACAATGTTTTAATATTTGTAGAGACATAATTTCTTTCACTTCTGTATGAGCTTTTTTCAAAAATATTTTTCTTTAACATTGTAACTTGATTAATTATGAGTAGAAAGAAGAAGAAAAGCTGAAAGAATAAAATAATTTGTTCACTATGTCAGTCTAATTTATTCTCGAAGACATTAAAAAGCACCTGTTTTGTTATAATGAGAAGGAATAATGAAACAAATAAATGTATGGTAGATTTCATTTTTTCAAGGGCATACCATTAATAAATTTGCTTTTTTCTGCATTTCATTTTCTATTAATGTCGTTATATTATATTCTAATTCAATTGGTTGTTATATTCTTTCCAGATATTTTTATTTAGGATACTTTTGTAATCTTTCAAAATACAATAAAAATATAAACGAGACTTTCGCGTTCTTCAGAAAATCCATCAAATTTTATTGAGATTGTTAATTCATTTACGGTCGTATTTTCTAATCTCTTTTTATCCTACTTCGATAAATAACGAGAGTGTTTAAGATATCAGAAAGAAATGCTTTAAAATCTATCCGGATTAAAAAACTAAACGTATAATACGAATGCAAATAAATCGTTTTTACCCCTCGCATGGCTCTTTCAGACTTTATTTGTTATGTGGACAAGAAGTGCTCTTTACTTGCACATAGTTCTGTCTGACTGAAGGTAGTGAGATAATTTCTGGATTAGTTGAATTTTCACGTTATTTCTAGTTCGATTCATCAGATACACCGTACTCTCAGTACAAACTGACGATTCTTCAAAACAGACTTTTATGGAACTAATTACACAAAAACAACCGCCTTTAAGGATCGATCTATGATGCATGCGGAAAGATGCGGTTTTATCGTGGACTGTAGTATAGTTTTTCAGGTAAAATCTAATTTTTTCGGATAACGAACACTTTTTTGATGAATAAGATCAGATTCGGGATAAGCGCATAAAACTGCATCGAATGTTGTGCTAAACTAAACTACTCCAAACAAAAACTATTTTTCGAAAAAACTTCGCGAAGGGTCACTCTCAGAGATTTTTCGGTGAAAAAGATACTTTTCCAAGAAACCTTTTTTGCTTGAAGATAATTCTGCCGGTGATGCAGAATCATTTCTAAGCAAAAAGAAGCGTTTTTGATAAGAAAAAAATGACACGTTCGCAAGACATGCTAAAATTGCATACTGTGCTCCCACTCCCTCTCTCCGCCAGAAAAACGACTATATTTCCTATGAAGCTATTCTCTCTATGGTTGTTTACTACTATAGAATGTTTCATTTGCAGTAATCCGATCTGATACGGTTAAAAATGAATGTGCTGACGTGAGCGGAAGAGTTTTACGTTTGGACTTTAAGTGCATACTGTTAAACGTTTTATTCCAAATCGGAAGAACCAAATGCAGTGGTAAACAGATCATAAATGCATGTTTTGCAATGATAACAGCATCTTTTTATAGAGGAGTAGGATGGGGGATTCTTTAAAACGAATAATGTATAACTTTACAGGCCCCTGGGAAAAAATTTCGAAGTATTGATATCTTATATTCGATTCATTTCATTCAAACACACGTAAAAATATAAGTTTATTTATCAGATAAATAACTTGATACATATTTATATCATAAAAACGTAATAACAAGTGAAAAAAGAATACACAGGAAACAACGATTCGTTTCTCTACTTAGAGATCGATATACGACTGAGATTTTTTAAATTGAAAGTATTTGAAATCATTCACGAAAATATCAGCCGCTTCATCGACAACCTCCAAAAGACTAGTATTTTTTTTCGAATGGACGCAAGATCCGGTCGAATATTGACGAAGTAAAATGAAAATATTCTGGACATTAGATAATAGCACACGTACTTGAGCTTTTTGTTTTAAGATTTTGATTTGGTTTTGGTTCATATTGCGTTTGTAAACGATGCATGGCACTCACAAGTAAAACAAATTGATCTCTATACAATGGTTTATCGTATTTCTTTGAGTATCGGTCGCGTATGTCAGCATATTCCTGTTGCCAGTCGGGCTTTAATCCTTCAGCATAAAAAAGAAGATCATGTCCAGAGTAAAATTCATACAAATCTTTCAATTCTGAGCGAATATGATTTTCTCTAAACCAAAGACTGATTTCTTCTGAGCTCCATTTATCAATTGATTTTGATTGCAGTTTGATATTATTGTTCATTTTCACATTATCTTCATCCTGTTTTTCTGGTTCTTTTTGTGAAGCTTTTTGTAATGGTGTTGTTAACTTATCATCAACCACCGGATGTGTTGTGTCATCAGTAACTGATTTTTGTGGTTTTTCATTATGAACGGGTGGCGCTACCTTTTCATTTTTAACATCGTCTAGAATCAGTTCAATTAATTCTGGAACGGTATCGTCAAATGGTTTTTTCCCAAAACGAATATACTGTGGCCCCACAACTCGTATACCCAACCATCCGGTTGCAACAAATTCTTTTTGTACATAAATTGGAATAAAACGTTTTTTTAATGAATCTTTAGCATACATGACTTCTTGACGACAAGATTTACTGTCATAATAATCCTTTGTCATTAAAAATAGAACGACATCCGCTTTCTCAATTGCTTGTCCGATTTCTTCCCATAAATCTTCGGTATGACAATAAGCAAAATCCACCCAAATATCAAATCTGTTGTCTAAAAAATGATACACAAAACCGTATAGGATAACAGTACAGAAACTCTAATTGGGTAGGTAAGTACTTAAGAAATAAATATATTATTTATACTCCTTTAAACCCCTACCATACTTGAGAATATTAGAGAATAGGTTCAGTGTTTGTCGTACCAGCCGAAATACGAGGCGAGCATATCACTTATTAAAAGAGGAAGCTAACGAAATTTGTTTGTTTTTTATTTCGAAAGAATACAACTTTTCTTAACGTATCGTACTTCGAAGCATATTAAATATAAAAACAAAAGATACAAGATCGCGGCTATTGAATAAAAGGACGAGATATCCTCCGTTTTGCGTTTAATTTGATTTTTTTCCCCCAAACTTCTGACAATGTTCTAAAAGAATGCTGGGACTCTTGTCATAGTTATTACATCTTTATGTCCTTGGCGTAAACTTTTGATACATTTACGTGGTAAATAATATGCAGATAACTTTTTTCGTATATATCACGAATATCATACTGGAAGATATCGCGTTAGAAGTTTAAAAACCTGAATATACCGAAAAAACATTAATTTGTCGCTCTATTATACCTTTTTTCAGTGCATTGACCAACTGCTGACAAAACTTTGTGTCAGCGTGTGAATAACTGACCATTACCAAGCTGCGATTGTTCTTTCCTGATGTAACTTGTGGTTCACATGCAGGCAAATTTCCAGCAGGTGTGGTTGTAGATTGTCCAGTTCTTGCTATGATGTAAAAGGAAAATAAGTTAACAAATTTAATCAATTCGAAAAGTCTATACCTGGATTATTTTCGTCCAGATTCCAGAGAATTCCATTGCCTGCTTTTTTAACAGATGACATATGCTGTGGGACGTATTGATCAACTAGAGCTTCACCGTCATCATTTATTAAACTTTTTAGTGTAAGCATAAATTTCGAGTTCGATTTTAATTCGTCAACATATTCATCATGAAATGATATACTCCACACAATATTGAACACAGCTGTCAACGTTATTTGTTCGTATTCATCATCGTTAGCTAAAGCTCCACGGAATCTCATTAAAACCTCACAAAAAAATTGTACAACCGATGTTATTGAAGATGGTTTATTCACTCGAGCTTCGTTTAAGATATATTTCAAAATTTCATCATGAACTGATAGTTTTGTGAGTACAATGATCGGTTCGGAGATATGAAATCCGCCAGATTTAAAATTTTTTGTTTGTGATGCATCCATTGCTGTCTGTAATAGTTTATCTAATATTTTATGCATAGACTTTGCATCTCCCTTATTCTCTTTAGGATCACTCAAAAGAGAAATAGTCATGCAATAAAGTAGATTCATTTCTGGATATAGTTCTTGATCTGGATCTAAGACTCTTTTCTTAAATTCTCCTAATACTTGTATAGCATTGCATTTGGTCAGAGCATCAGCTCCACGATCATGTCGTGCCAAATTATGGAGGATACTAATGACAGGTCGTTGATATTCGTACTGTAAACATTCCATGTTAATCCATTTGAGAGTGAGTTCATGATAGTTAGTATTTATAAAATTTGGCACCAATATTGTTTTATCACATAGCGTCCAAAGCAGATTTAAAAGTGCATCTGTGTTTAGTCCCTGAGACGGTAACGGATTGTCCATTGTTGAAATCAGTGAAGCCAATGTACCAGCACCCGCAACAAAAAAATCATCAATATATTTCGCAATTACTTTTAGTAATGGTTCTTGTTGTTTAAGATCATTTTTAACGAATGTTACGTAACCCGCTGCTTGTTGACTGGTTAACAGAAGAACAGTTAATAATCTTGCCCATGTTGTCGCCAACTGAATTGAACATTGATTTTGTAAGAATTCCATAAATCCCGGTAAAGAGCAAATATCAAATGACGAATAGAATATTTTCCGTGCAAAATCGTAATCGTTTTCAAGTAAATTGTTAAAATCAATTGTGTATGTAACATTGTTTAATGCTCCAACAAAAGCAATTAAATCTTCATGATCTAATACAGAATCACAATTGTTGATAGACAAAATATTAGCATATTGAACTATGACTTTTTGTAATATTTCTAGTGTTTCTTTTGAGTTCTCAGATGCTAATTCCAACAAATTTTGAGCTTCATCTGACAATCTGTTAGCTATATCACTAAGTTCTGTGTTGTAACTATCATCATTATTTTCTCCACTCTCTTCCACAGGATGTTTAGAATGCAATAATACAAACTGGCGTAATGTTTCAAGAATAGATAAAAAGTCATTTAATAAATCTCTTCCCTGTTGTGCTTCATGAGATGCTTCGTCTTCATCTTGTTCTGTGATGGGAGCATTTCCAGTCATAATTATATCGCGTAAATTAATCACTAAAAATGCAATCGTCAACATAAATATTGCCAGAAATTTTAAATGGTTGTACGATACTACGTAGTTTTCTGCAGTTCTCTACGTTTATACTACAGACTGTAAAAGATGGAATGCAAATCCCAGAGATACATTTTCATAAGCATAATCTTTTAGAAGACCGTGCGCAGACTAAAGCCCATTGTCCACCTATATGCACAACAGACAATGATATCATAATTACGCTAATCGTAAGCGAAAGATGGATAAATCATATTATCGTGTCATAGATTTTGAAAACTGTTACTGTGTGTAATACCTATTAGTTTTGCCGACGATTATGGAACCTTTACAAGAAGTTTATATCAGGGCCCGTTATGGGCGCGGTAGGGATGGCTCAGTGTCGGTGCACTGATAACCGATGACACCGACACTGACGTTCACTGATACACTGTAATACTGACACTGGCAAATACTTGAAGCACCTACACTGACTGTCACTGAAACACTGAATTACTGACACTGATGAACACTGATACACTGCCGCACCGATACTGAAAATCAGTGAAACACTGAAACACTGACCGTCACTGATCAGAATACCTGGACAGAAGATCAAAAAACTTTCTGTGTCCATTACCATCATGAATCATGTGTATATTCCGTCGATGTTTTCTTTCTTTTTGCTGGCAGGCGTATAGGCGCACACGTAAACAATTCTCTTCTAGCTAGAGGCAGTGTGTCGATCTTTCAGTGTTCATCAGTGTCAATGCTTCAGTCTTTCAGTGGTTGTCAGCGTCAGTGCGTCAGTGTGTCAAGCGTTCGGCAGTGTCAGTATTTCAGTGTTTCAGTGATCGTCAGAGTCGGTGTCATCAGTGTCAGTATCTCAGTGTTCACACCGACACTGAGCCATCCCTAGAGCGCGGAAGTCAATGAGCAGAAGAGAAATTTTTTTCTATTTAGAGCAAAGCTCTCTAGTAGCTGATGTCTCTAGCCTACAGTGAAAAAGGCAGTAACGTTCTTTCTTCATTTCTGGTTGAAAATCGTGTTCAATCGTTCAGAAAGAAGAAAAAGAATAAAAATCGATGATTTTTCATCTTCTTAAACTAAGTATTTCTGCTGTATTATTAAACTGAAAGTGAGCACACTATGAAACATATGTAACTTACACGATAAAACAAATTTTATTGTCAATTTTTATACGAAGAGTGACATAACACCGTTAAGAATGAGAGTTGTTCCATGAAACAACGAAATCTACAGTAGCTTTATTTGTTTCATTATCGCTTGTGATTCTTTAATGGCATACGTAACTACAGCTTTTTTTCTTATTTCTACTTACAGTCAACACAATGACGACGTTAAACAAAAATATTTTTGAAAAAACGTCAAACAGAAAGGAAAGAAAATGTGTCTCTACAAAAATGAAAATATTGTTTATATATTTTAATGTTTGAAAAATAAAGGCATCAAATCTAGTATAATTCGCATAGAGTTGCTATGGATGAAACAATGTTTTAATATTTGTAGAGACATAATTTCTTTCACTTCTGTATGAGCTTTTTTCAAAAATATTTTTCTTTAACGTTGTCATTTGATTAATTATGAGTAGGAAGAAGAAGAGAAGCTGAAAGAATAAAATAATTTGTTCACTATGTCAGTCTAATTTTATTCCCGAAGACACTGAAAAACAGATGTTTTGTTATAATGACAAAGAATAATAAAACAAATAAAATTAATTGTAGATTTCATTTTTTCAAGGACATACTACTAAAAACATTTGCTGTTTTTCACGAAACAACTCTCGTTGTCAACAGTGTTATGTCACTCAACGTATAAGAGTTAAAGACAGGCTGAAAATAAGAAAAGTAGCCTAGATTTTTGATCGATGGAGTACGAAATGTTTTTTGTTGCCAAAATCGTTCTTCTTATTTTGGAAAGTTCATATTACAGGGGTCATGCAGCCTCAGCTTATCTGCCTGTATACACTTTGAATCGTTTTAAATATGTATAATTAAATATAAAAATGGAATTCCGGAGTAGGCTAGATGTGCAAACACTACTTTATAATCAGAAATAGATTGCGAAATAATTTGTGTAGGCTAAATCTATAAGCCATTTTGTCGAATTTTTGAAGCACTACGAAAGGCACTATATTATTTCAGTTCAAACTGACAGTTTTCTAACTTTATAAAATTAAGTACTTTTCAAATCATCCTAAAAGATAAAAAATAAAGTATTAAGTTAAATATATTAAAATAAACAAAGTACTTTCTGAATGCTTTGTATCACTGAAAATTTTTTATTTTGTTTGAAACGTAATTGAAGATATACACTGTATTACTTACTTCTTTGGTTACATATATGTCCAATTAGCAAACAGAAAAAATAGTATGCTTCGACCGGGAATCGAATCCAGCAGGCCCTGGTTATAAACGGTATATCCTCGCTCGGTCTGAATAGCTTCGCTACACTTGATTACTTCGTGTCAGTGTAAAAACACTTTCGATGATTAAATCATTTGGGTATATATGAGTATATGTAGTCTCAATGCACTTAATAATATTTTTTTAATGAGTTGTACATGAAAGTCTCATGATTTTACGTCAAAAGACCTGAATTCGGCTTCATTTCGAAAAAATTTCACTGGCTGTAGTTCTTTTGTCGGTGAGCTCAAAAAAGATTTCATCTGTAAATCGAATAAATCCCTTTTTGTTTGAACACGTTATGGCGATTATTGATGGAATCACAAAGCTTTTGTTAAATCGTAAAAATTATCAGCAAAAATCTTTCAGAAAGCAGTAGGGTTGCCACAGTAATCGTTTACTTCTTCCCTTGCATTACTCACCGTGAACGTTGCTTTTGACAAACAGATCCTTTTGATGTCGCATAAGTACGGACAAAATATGAAAAAAACTACATCAATTGGTAGAAGAGAGCACGAGCTACATTTTAATAAAAAAATAATTTTGAAAAGTTGTTTTCTTCAGGGTGAAAATGGTACTTTAAGTCAACCCAAATCCACTCTCGCGACTCATTCGCGGCGCGGTCGCGCTGTCACTACCGCGCTCGCTATGATATCCCGCACGTCACGGCACGGTCGCGATGAAATCTTGTATTCGCGTTGCGATCGCGCTCTATTCTTAAACTCGCGGCATGATCTTGATCAAATCTTACTTTCGAAAAAAACTTTCTTTAAGATTCACTGTGCGACATGTAATCACGTCGCGCTCGCTATGACGTCGCGAAGTCAGGGCGCTCTCTCTGTATACTCGCGAACTCGCGGTAAGACTCTCTGCATAAGAATTATAGTAGACACGTGTAGGATTGAAGATGTGTTTTTGTTATTCTCATTTTACATGTGATACAAAAAAAGTCAGTGTACGTTATGTACGAAACACTTCATATTTTCTTAAAGTGGTGTGCCGACTGATTCACACTCGAATTTTTTGCAGTTTACATCTATTTTCACTTTTTCAAAGGGAATCGCACGAGAAAATAAATAATTTATATACAAAGTAAGTACACAGCAATTTTAAGGAACGAGAGAGTATAGAAACATAAATTCTTTCCACTTGGTTGACACAAAGTTGAAATCTTTTTGTTTAACTATTTTGGATATCGAAACGGGGTGCTCTTTTTCTCAAAATATACGAACTTCTACTATGTACAGCTTCGTTAAGTATGTTAACTTCCCAAGGTCTCAAAATAAAAATACACTAAAGTGAGAAAAGCATCAAAGCTTGATGTCATCGCAATCGTGAGTATCCTCGGTGTAAGATCGCTTTGTCGATGGTGAACTTCATGATGTAGTGAGTACCAATGCGGTTCTGTTTGATGCATAGAGGATTGGGGCTCAGCCATTTCGCCTCATTCACAGGATGCCAGATTAGCTCTAGCAACGAACTGATATTAGCATCTAATATTTACGAATAAACATTTTCAAATTTCTTCCACCAGCATTATCACAGCTCGCTGTTAACTTTTTACAAATAGAGTGAAGAAGATAGTTCAACATCACGACAAAAATATGCTGGCAGCATTTAAACGAGAGACTATATCTTCAAAATTGCTGTTTACCGACTTAAGTGCGTCATGTTCTCGAAGAAAAAACCGAGTAAAACAAGGTGCATAATGCCTACGTTTAGATGTTTTTAGCAACTCTACGCTTCCATTTGACTTCAGTCAGTTAGCAGGGCTTGTCTTCTTGAGCGCATGACTCAATCTATTTTTCTCCCTGAGTGAATATTATTTCGAGAGAATTAACTGTACTTTCAAACAAAAAAAAGTTTCTAAATTCAATGGAAATTTAATATAGCATGAACTATTACTGAAACGTCCGAAATAATATTCACTCACGGAGAAAAATAGACTGAGTCATATGCTCAAGAAGACAAGTCCTGCTAACTAGCTAGAATCAAACACCTGGTGAACCGAAAACGGAACAACGCGACAAAGTATTATTCGCGATGCGAATCCCAGTGTTCCGGTAGCAATTTATGCTCGATCGCGACATGACTTCGCGAGAACTGGAAAGTCATGGCGCGATTTTGCGAGAAAAACAGGATCGTGGTACGGCACCGCGACTTCTTTAGAACGATAACGCAAGAATAGCGAATAAATCGCGATTGCGGCATGACAGTCGCGGATTCAGCCCTTTCATTCTTAGACCACAACAAAACCTCGATCATAAAATAAGACTCTTATTTCGCGATCATAATCGTGATCCCGTTACGCGTACTTGCTACGACTTTTATAGCAAATCGCGGCGCGACAAAAGCAAGATAGTTGATCTGGGAAAACTATCATACCCTTCAGTTTGACTGCTCAATCTTAGGAACGAGACTGAGTTATTGAATTTTTTTGCACCAACTCATTCCTGAGATTGAGTAGTCAAACTGAAGAGTATGATAGTTTTGGCTTAAAGTCGCGTTTTCACCCTGAAGAAAACAACTTTTCAAAATTATCTTTTTATTAAAATGTAGCTCGCGCTCTCTTCTACCAATTGAAGTGGGTTTTTTCATATTTTGTCGGTACTTATGCAG